GGTTGCCACTCTCGAACAGGTCTCAGGAAGGGTCCGGGAAGCGCCAAGTAACAACCAGGATTTTGCAGGCTGCACACGGTACAACTAGTTCAAAAAACATTCAAAAATAACATCAAAGAACAACAATTTATACTGCTGTTGCTTTTACAAGAGGTGGTTGCAGGTTAACAATGGCAGCAGCAATTATCCATATATCATCGATTAGAGGGACTAATGTGATAGGCAAAGTGTTCTTTAGAAGTCGAAATTCTTTCAGCCTTCCAATGACACGTTCAATGTGTATTCTTGCACGTGCTATGCGCTTGCAATGATACACTTCAGAGGGTGTAAACTGTCGCTTACTACGTAAAAATGGTGGAATTACAGCTTTTACCTGCCTTGATAGAAATAAATCTTGAACATTGAAACCTTTATCAAAAAGTGCAATAAAACCAGGAGTGAATCTTCTTGCAACATTGCAATCTTCAGTGATAAAACGATCTGAGGAAGATCCAGAGTAACCTTTAGAAACAAAAGAGATAGAACCGCCTTTAGTACAAAATATAAGTTTTTTTAATGTGTTTCTACTTTTATAAGAACTATATGTTTGATATTGAGCTTTAGCATTAGCAGGTTTTTGAATAGTTTGTTCAGTACAGTCACCAATACCTTCAACATAAACGAAATCTCCAATAAAATGAGGATGTGTAAAACTTAATGTTTCTTCTGGAGCAGGCCAATAAATTAATGGTTCAAGTTCTCGGGCTAATAAAGTTATAAATGTAGTTAAAATCCTAGAAACATGACTTACTGAAATTTTAAAACGAAATGCTAAATCTTGTAATGGTGAGTCAAGTCGAATACGCATTAAAGTAAGTAACACTTCATCTTCAACAAAAAGCTGTCGTGCTGGACCAGGTTTCCCTGTACTTGAAGGTTTACTAGCAGGACTAAACTGATATTGCTTTGGTTCAAATGAACGTTTATAATCCATAAAATATGACACTTTTTTATGTTTAGCTTGAACACGACTAACAATATATAAAAAAACATTTTCAGTGGGACACCCAGTATACAATTTTATGACTTTGGGTAAAGAACGCACTGCCTCCCATGTTAATCTTTTATGACTACTTTGTTTATAAAGTGTTGTTGGTGTTAGATAAGTTGCTGGTGTGTTAGTAATTAAATCGATTTGTTGTGGAGAAAGTTGCTGATTAGATGCTGTTGATGATAGACATGGAGGAGATATTGACAGAGAAGACTGTTGGGGAATATTGTCATTATTGTTACTGCTACTAGTAGTGGTACAGGTACTTGAAAAATGTGTATTTTTATGTTTTTTAGAAACTGTAGTAGGTGTATATCGAGGAATTGGTAATTTTCTTTTATTTTGAGGAGAAGATATTTCGTATCCTTTCAAATATAACTTTGGATGAGGGGATAGCTCAGTTGGCTTCCCATACTCAAAATGATTTGCACATACTTTTGTATTCTTATTTACAGCATATAGCTTTCTTTTTTTTGTTAAAGGATCGACTATTTCTCTGTTAATAATTTTACTCCATGTGGAAAAATATTTCTCTTTACAAGTAAAAAATTTTAATTCGCTGAAACTAAAAGTCTTATAAATATGATCTTTCAAAACATACTTTTCTTTGTATCGACGATCGTTGTTACAACCAAAAATTGCACAATGATCGCTCTTACCCATTACAAAAGAGTGTTGCAAATAAAAAAAATAATAGTTATAAACCAAATAGATAATAATGGTCAACTTTTAAAAAACTAAATAGAAACAACAGGATATTTACGAATTTAACTTTTGTTTGCTCCCAGGCAATCCCAAAATGCAATGCGTAGTTATAATGACGTCGTTATCTGGCAAAAGGTCTATTGTTAAAACTTCTTTATCGCCATCGGAGACGCTTAAATCGTTTCTCATATTATAAAAGATACTTTCATGAACATAAATTAGAAGCCCTCCACCTCGTTTACTCGTTTTTCTTTCTTGTGAGATAATTTTAAAATGAGGAATATTAAAATTATTGTCAAAATCGTTTAATGTAACCCATGTTTCAGTTAAACAAATGATATTAAATAGATTTTTTGTTTCTTCTAATAAATTTAAAAGTTTTTCAAAATTCCGATTTAAGCTTCTTATATTGAGGTGGAGAATTCTAATTTGATTGGAACTTTTTTTAATTGCATTCTGAAAAAGATATTATATTTTCTTTTTTACTGTTTCTTTTTTTTTTCCTAAATTTTCTATTTGATTTATTAACCATATATTACCATATATTGTTGTTATGATCTGTAGGGGCTCTATGAAAAGTTTAGGTTGGTATTTTGCCATCCATATCTTCTTTGAGCCCCTGACTGTTTATTACTTGTACATTTATAATAATATTTTATCTTTGGTGAAAGGAAATTGTAATTTATATAAAAAGCAAAATAAAATAAAATTAAAAAAAAAAAAAAAAAAAAAATTTGAACAATAAAAAAAAAGAAAAAACGATTTATTTGCTATTCTCCTAATATAAAAAAAATCAGTTATAACCTTGTCAAACCAACGCGACAAATTATATATAATATGTACCAGAACAGATTAGATCTAGGATCTATAAAAGCACCTTTAGGTTCATTATTAGGGGTACTAAAAAAGATTTTGAAAGTTATAGAAAAAAGTGAAAAGTTACTATAAACATTAAAAAAAAATCTGAAGCATAAAAACTATACTATCTGATGCTCTTGTTTGGACATAATACGCTGACAAAATCACGCTAATTTCATACAAAAGAATTCAAATAATTTAAAAATTGCTTTAACTACGCCGGGTGTGGAAAAATATACGCGCACATTTAAATTTTTTATTTTTTATGCATGTTTTTTTCTGACTTTATATATAAATTATTTAGTTTATTTACTGATAAGTGATTCGATGAAAGTGTACACGATGAAAGTGTACACGATGTACAATATATCAATTTAACCATTTTCATATCAGTTTAACCAAGTCCGGAGCCTTGATTTACGGCATAGAAAAAATCTATTTATAGTACACGAACTTCGTCTAAATAACATTTTATATAAAATTATTATAGGTTTAGTTGATAAGTATATTTATTTTGAATAAATATGATATGCGCATATATCATATTTATTTTTAGGCTTTATTGTACAAAAATTTTGAAATACTCAAAGAGATTAATTTTTTTTCTTTTAAACGTAAATTATAAAAAGTTATATAAGTTTAGTCGGTTGAAATCTAAGTTTTTTTTACGTATAGTACATACATGTACACAAACGTATACGTTCTCATAACTCGATCCTTTCTGCTAAAACATGCGTGATCAGTTTTTTTACTTATAAGTATTTCGTAAAATCAAAATCTAATACTGATTTTATCACAGAACTGAAGCAAAAGTTTCTTTTACGTCAGTTCTGCAGAAATTAAATAAAATCATTCTTTGAATAGTACTTTTTGTTTAACAAGTAGCACTACTCGTTTAACGATACCGAGGTTTAACGAGTAATTGTTCGTTATTCGAAAAAAAAAAACTATTTGCTGGTGTTTTTATACAAAAAAAAAAACTATTTGCTGGTGTTTATATACAACTTTACTACGAAAATTGTAAAATAAAATCATTTAATTACTGCTGAAAACTTTAAATTAAACAAAGCTATTTTATAAGGCTTATATGATATTCTAGTTGTCCTTTTATCAATTTTTACAATATATATATATACTTTTTATTATCGTAAAAACTTTTGCACGCTCCATCTAAGTAAATATAAACGTTGCGCTAATTGTTTTTAAATAACTTACGAATGCAACTAAATAAAAAGCAAAAAACCTATAACTTTAAAACGTTAAATACAAGCATGGGGCACAGTGGATCAATGGGAAGATGGGGCACAGTGGATCGATGGGCACAGTGAATACGAGGCATTTTCTCAAAAATTAGAATATTGTTCATCTTGATAATCTAATCATTTTATGTGCTCATCTATTAGCCATCTTTATTTATAGTTGTTACCACAGTTTTTTTCTACCGGTTTTTGGTAAATAATTTTTGTTTTTATTATAATGAAGGACATATCTTATAATTTATATTCCTCAAAAGAAAAAAATAAGTATAATTTACGAAATGATAATTTCATTCTACAATCTGTTTTTAAAACAAGTTTTGGCAAGTCTTGTATTTCTTTTCGAGGGGCGTTTCTGTGGAACAATATAGTTTTGAAACATTTTGAGTTTTCTCAAGACTGGAACTTCTTTGCATTTAAAAGAAAATTAAAAAATATTATTCTCTCTACTGAAAACATACTTGTGTATTTTTAATTTTAATTACTTCGATTTATTTATAATGTTTATACAAATTCTTAAAATTCTAAAATATTTGTTTGATCACATACTTGTATATTTAAATTTAGTTTTGTTAACTTTGTTTTAACTGGCTTGTGTAACATGTTGATTTATACATTTTATATTATTCATTTTGCATTTTATATATTCATGCAAAACGTTAATCTTTACTTCTAACTTTTATTTTAAAAACTTTACTAGACTTCGTTTATTTATTTTATATAGATTACGAAATTGTTTTTAAATACGAAATGATTGTCAGTTGTAAGCGGTTCTTGATGACAAGATCATAAGATCTTCTGCAAGTCTCCTCGTTCTTCTTTTTTTTATATTTAACAAAAGTTGTAATTTTTATTTGTATGCATTTCTTATATCTCAATCCTTTCGCCTTGAAAAAGATAAAATAACTATTTTAACTTTTGCTAAATTTAAAAAAATAAAGAAATCCGATCCACTGCGCCCCAACATCTCCCAACAGTCACTGCGATGAAGCAGCGGAGATGTAACAAGATTCGAAAGTTCCACTTCTGCTTTGGTTACACAAAATTGGAAACAAATAAAAAAAAGGTGGTTTCAATAAAATTAAGGGATTTTTAATCGAAGTAAGGCGGGTGTAACTTATTCAAAATAAATATATTGATAAAAAAACTTGTCAAGTTCTACTGACGTTTTTCAATAAACAGCATGCCATTTCTCATGAATATTTTTAAAGTACAGTATCTTATGAATATTTACAAAACAAATTCATTATTTAATCGTTTATTTATATTCCTAAAAAACATAAAAGCTTCATTATTCTGTTTCAAGACGTCCAAGAAACTTGAAGTATTTAAAAAATAAAATTCAAATGTCAAGGTGTAAAACCAGTTTCAGACAACGTCGATTCAATCAACGGGCTGCCTCGTGCTTGTTTGAATTTATCTATTAAAATTTCGTTAAATAAAGAAAACTCTCCTCGATCTTTTGGATTTTTTTTGATATCTTTTCGGAGTTGACGAGGTGTAGATTCAAAACTTCTAAAAAGGAAAAATAAAATTGAAGTTATAAAAAAGAATTGATAGCTCTTTATTTGTGTGTGCGTGTCTATATATATATATATATATATATATATATATATATATATATATATATATATATATATATATATATATATATATATATATATATATATATTATATATATATATATATGTTTAAAAGGAAGGATTATATCAAGCGCTGCCAAACATATAATCCTTTGTCCAAAATTTGCAATCTTTGTCTTAATGAAAAGTATTTTATTTTAACGCATATAGGGGAAAGCTGTTGAACAAAAGGAACAAGTTGGTTTCAAATTGTAGCCATAAAAATAAATTCCTTCTTTCGTTTTATGATACTGGCGATTAGCTGATTTATATAAGATTTTCTTTGACGTTTTCTTTTTTTGTCTCTATAGAGACGTCAGATGTCGCTTCACTGTATTTTGTAATTTTATTAACGGTTTGTTTGTTTTTGATATAGTACATGGCTGATGATTGCCGTATAAGCATGAAACTATTAGTCTCATGAAAAGTTGTTTTTTCTATATGTAAATAAAAATAAATATATATACCGCTCTAGTTAGAAAATTGTTTACTTTCTTTATTATTGAGCACTCTTAACTGAAATAGAGTTTTGTATTACTATTGTAATACAAATTTAACATCAATCGATATATATATATATATATATATATATATATATATATATATATATATATATATATATATATATATATATATATATATATATATATATATATATATATATTTTAATATTTAAACAAGTCTAAAGATATCATTCAAGCAGTAAGATAAAAGAAGTGATAATAACTTTAGAATTTTAAAATAGTTATTTACTAAATAAAAATTTTACAGATGAATTTGTTACAGATAAAGTTGAGTTCATAATAGTAGAATTTTTTTAAGTGCTATCATTGTCCCTTTCCCTAAAAAATATTTGAATTTTAGGGCCCTAATTTGAGGATAATACTGTTCCCCAACTCTGATCACCATTTTTTTAAACATATTTGTATTAGTGTGAAAATACATATCTGGAGGTTATTTATCTTGAATAATAAAAAATCTTAAATTAATTATTTATCACTATAACATCTCAACATAATAGCTATAAAATGCTAAATGTAACTATATGTAAATATTAAGAAATATTTTTAAATTTAATATTTTTAAATATTATCTTCATTATTAGTTTAATATTAACAGAAAATAAAAATTCTGATAAAAATTCATTTCCAATATCAGTAAATTTATTTGTTTTCCTTTGTTTATAAGTTTGTCATAAGAAATTCTTCTTTCACAGTTTTTTGGAATTAGTGTTAAACACTATTTCCCATTCTTTTTTTTCTCTTGATTTTAATTCAGCTTTAATGTTGTCATACACTAAGAGTATTTTTACTACTATTTCTGCAACTTTATATTCATATTTTGTTCTAAGATCTTTGTCTAATTTTTTCTGCCTTAAAGCGACTTGTGCTTTCTCAAAAAATTTCCAAAAATCATATTCCTCTGGTAAAATCTTAAATAGGAATGCTGCTGTATGTCTTTTAAACAAAGAACTGAAATTAATATTAGGTTTTACAAAACAATGATTTTATTGCTGATATCTCCTCATCCAGAGATGGCCAGTGGTTTTTAGGGGGCCCCGGTGCCAAGTATGGATGGGGGGGGGGGGTGAATAATATTTTTCGTTAAAAAACTCTTTTTTCTGAATTTGCTGTCTAAATGAAATAAAATTCATTGAAGGAGGGGGCAAGTATTACCTCCAGCATCAATGGATTTTATCAACTGACACCATCCCCTTCGCACCCGCCTTCCTTGAAACAGCAAAATTAAGTGTCTGGATTGGTTAGCAGTGGTAATAAAAAAAGATAAAAATAACTCATTACGTATATTTGCAAAATTTTCATTTTTTAAAATTCTTTTAAAAAAAATGGGGCCCCTAAAATTTGAGAAAATGTGGGGCCCCGGTACATTGCAACCTTTGCACCCCCCCTACAGACTGGCCCTGTCCTCATCTCTATAATTAACTGTATTTGTATTTGATTTTGTTGTGTAATTGGTGTCATTTGATAAAAGTAGATCATTGAAAGACATTTTTATTGGTTGATATCTTTTAAGAACTGTCTTTATTGGTGAAGTAATTTCTTTATTAGGTTGAAAAGGCTTTGTTTAAACATCAGATAAATGGAGAGTACTGGTTGTTTGGCCTAAACTTAGGTTCTTTGATCTGATTATTTCTATTATCGGATTTTTTTTTGTATCTAAATAGAATTTCCTTTCCTGGTTCTTCTGTTATTAGTGCAAAATTAATAAAAGAATCATTGATACTGGTTTGAATTTTTGTGTTTTTGTTTTCTAAAATTATATTTTTTAAAGCATTACAATTTACATTTTGAGTACACTCACAACACTCAATCTTGATTGCTTTGTCCAATAAACATTTATTCCAGATATTCTTGAGATTCATACATTAATGTGGATGAGCCATAATAATGTAGCTGCAATTTTGATGAAATATATATTTTATCTTTGAATGTTATTCCATTTTTCGATTCAAACAACCTAATATTTTTAACTTCTGACAAGTAGTCTGATATCCGTTCTAAATGTCTTTGATATATCCATGGATACATTTCTATCATCCAAAATGGAATTTCTTTTTCTATAGGACTTAGGTCTTCCTTAACCTTTTCATCACCGATTGAATTCATTTCAGATTCTGAATGTAATCGCATAAAACATTTGTGCTTTTCAGCAAGTATTTTTCTAATATGATTAAGCGTGATTTGTCTACCTGCTACCGATAGTTTTAAAAGATTTATCATAAGTTATTGTAAAGATTTGGAACTTTTGTGGTATAATTAATTCACCAATCATATATTCAATCATATATTTAGACACTTTCTCTTTTATATTCATCTTTATTTTTTTCATTGTTAGTTCAGCAGGTATACTAATATTTGTTGCATGTATTTTCTTTTTGTATCGTCTTATTTCCTTGACCTTTATATTAAAAGCAACTCAAGCCAACACCTTTACTTAATAGAAACTGTTTTACAATATCACCCCCATTTTTAACTCACCATAACTGTTAATAGCATTGTATTACTGTTAGTAGCATGGTAGTTCAGTAAAAATGATTTTTGTACCTAACGCATAAGAAATTACTTTCCTCCAACAACCCTTTTTATTCTATTTATTTGTGTAGTTTCCAGTAAGATTTTTTAGTTTATTTGGGTGTATTTTTTTATTGCAAATTTTTGAATTTGAAAAAGTTTCAAAGCTTTGATTCATATGCATTTTTATACCCTTTTGCAAAGATATTTCAGTTCCAAATGCCCTATAAATAAAATATTTTTATTTATTAAAGAGAATTTTCAAATTTGGAAAATATGAAAACTATTATAGCCAATTTGAACCTATTAAATAAATTTATATAAAAAATAGTCAGAAATTTTATATAGTTAAACTTTTTTAAAGATTATGCAACTTACAACTGCAGTCTCTTTAAAGCATTTTTAAATAAACTTGCATGTTTATTTTGTAAATTTTTTGTGTCAGTTTTTAATGGTTTCTGAATTAAGTTTGAATCAGGAATGAGGGGTATCATATTTATTATTGACGTAAAAGAGTATTGTTTCTAAAATTTTCTATTCGCTTCACTATATAAAGAACTTGCGCAATTTATTAAATTTTCTTTGTTTCCACTTGCTATTTCATTTGAAAAAAGATAATTAGCTTTTTTTTGTAAAGAATTTAGTGTTAGTCAAGATCATAGAACACATTTGCATGTTTATCACATTCTTGAAAGTTGGAGAACCTGTGTCAAAATTTATCAATTAAAATAAGTTTATTCCATCCACTTAAAGGAAATGTGGCTACTATTATCTTCTTTTTTGCATTATGTCGCTTAGAAAGATAACATATTTTTGACTTAATTTTGGAAAATTTTGACGATGGATATCATTAGAGACAGCAAAATTTTCTTTTTGGCATCTGAATATTGAATTATATTGATCGATTCTTTGTTGTAATGAAACTTTTGACATTAGCAGATTAAATACAATAACTTTGACATAACCATATCTATTATAGACATAGTGATGATCTATAAAGTTTAGAGAGTAGAAAATATTATATTAACTAATATTAATTTACAGTCATTCCATACTTTATATTAAAAAATTAATTACTTTTTATTTTTAAAAGCAATGAAGCTAACTTGTTTATAAAGTTTAAAACCTATATAAAAACAAAATAAGTTTAAAAATAAAATTAATTTGTTTATAAAGTATACCGCCTCTAATTGTTTACGCATGGAATAAATTATTTTTTAAAGATGACTGAATAAGTCCCAAGTATTTAAAAAAATGATACTAAATACAG